TATTCTCTCTTATTTCTGCATGTAAGCTCGACTCCTTGTGTGCGCGATCAATAAAGTCTGGAATTTCTGAAGCGTTTCTTAAGTCCTTGTGAAGTTGCTTGATTTTTCGCTTCAGATCCATTTGAGTTTTGGATGCATGTCTTTTCCCGCTGGAGCCTCGTAGCGGAATTTCCTTGATGGGGAGGGCTGTTGTTATCAATTCGAGAATGTCGCAATCTTGATGTAGAGCTTGTGCCGCTTTTATCTTCTCATCAAGTGCTATTGCCCATTCCACGCCTAGTCTTCCCGATAGCTTGTCCATCTCGACCACCCTTTTCTTTCGTCGAGGGGTTGCTTCTCGATCCCTCCTTTGCGGGAGGATTTCAATCTTTGGGATGGCTTGCTTACCCTCAGCATCGAGAGAGCTCACATTCACTACAAGTGCTCTGTGGTCGACTGCGGCTCCTATGATGCAATCCTCTGCGGTCTGCGATATTAAGCTTACTGTGCGAGATGGATGATGTAATGCAAAGACATGATCCAGTTTTGCTTGGTGATGGCCCTGCTTGTACCATGTGGAGAAGGTGAAGTGCGTGCTGCTTCTGCTCATCTTCTCGCAAGTGACCATCTGTGATCGTCCAAGTTCGTTTAAGCCTTGTTCCATTCTCTCATCTGCACGGTGCACACTCGATTTGCTCCCGTATCCGACTCTCATGAGGATCTCTGGATGTTGTCGAGATGCATTGAAGTCGCCTCCTATGATGGTGAGCTTGACACTTGGCTCCGTCTTGAGCATCTGGCTCAGCGTTGCCCACATCTCGTCTTGATCCTCCCCTTGCGCTGCAGTAGGAAAGTGGATGTTACAGATCCCTATCGGTTCTTTTTTTCCGATCTGTAAAAGTTGTATTCTTTTTTGGAGATTCTGCTCTTCCAACATGTCAGCGCGGCGGCAGAGCAGGGGGGAGGGACGAGGGAGAAGGTCCGCATGTACGAGCGTCACAAGGCGAAGATCGCTCTTACCCTTTCTCCCCTCCCCTGCACCTTTCGTCATGAACACTCGGTAGCATCCCCATTCTTTCTTGATCATCATTCGGAGATCTGCCTCCTTTCGTTTTCCCCCGACCAAAACTTCTTGAAGTAGCACGACTGTTGGTTGATATGTTTCAATCAGGTATCCTAGGATGTGTTTCAGCACAAATTGACTGCATCCATTGACATTGTGAGAAATGATGTTGCCAGGGGCGTTGTCCTTCCTGTGCGTTTCCACCCATGCTGATTGCACTGACCTGTCGGTGGTAGTCGTGGATGGTTTGCTGCCTGCTGGCAGGATTTGCTCCTCCGCCCCCGTTGCCCATTGAAGGTGAGACGAGTTCCCATCTTGCATCTTTGTTGGGCCTGGTAGCTCCTCCTCTCCCCTTGTCTCCTTGTCATTCTTCGAGATTGGCGCTGTGTGCATTGCTTGTGGCGGAGGAGGTGGCTGGAGTGGAGAGACGGGGCATGAAGCAGGAGGTGGGGGAGGGGAGGACGTCAGGATGTCTACCTGTGCTGACCTGTCTTGTAGTTGCAGGACCGTCGCGGCTATGAGCTTCGTTGATCCTTGTCCTCCTTGCTCCTGCTCGTCTTCCAATCTCTCCTGTAGCCGTGCATCTTCAGATGCCTGGGTCGCCTGTAGATCGCCTGCGCGTTCTTGGCCGTCTTCTCGCCTTTCCATCCGGTTAGGTATACGTTCCATGGTGAGCTCTGCAGCTTGCCATTCCTTGTAACCTGTATCTTGCGCGTGCTGTAGAGCTCTGCAGATGCATCGCGTGTGCACATGTTCCATACCCCCCCCCCAGAGCCCATCCAGCAGCAGATGTCTTGTTCGCATGAGCCATTGCTGATGGGGGGGGACGCCTTGTTGCCTCCCTGTGTTGAAGATATCTTGTTGTTGTGTTTTCCTTCGTGTCTTTGCGATCAGCAGCAGATGCAGCAAAACGAAAATTCCACAATTGTAGCCGTCTGTTTGTTGCAGCCCAGTTGACACACATGCCCTCCATGCCGTGTCGTCACAGTGTTCTTGTTGATCGCTAATTGCCTCGGTGATAATCGTCGCCATGAGTGATGCTAGGTCCATTCGCTGTGCGCCCCCCAATTGAAACTGTGCCTCCCTTTGGCTTCTGACTGTCCCCAGGTCTCTCTCAAGGGCTAAGCGAGTCGACGATGTGTATTCTTTTTGTGTTAGCATCTGCCACGATTAGGATCCAATGATTGCCGTTCTCTACGCAAGGGAATAAGAATGGTTGAGCTGCCCCGGCTAGCAGTCGTTTTGCTCTCCGTGCCCTTCCCTCCTGATCTCTCAAACCCGCTACTATTCTCGGGAGAACAATGGTCCCTCTCTGCAGCCCAAATTGGTTTCTAGTTTGCTCGCTGGCATACCTCGTGCCTTGGGGCCATGCTATTTGAAATCTGTCTTCCGCTGGTTCTAAATTGCGGTTTACCTCAACGATTAATGCCTCCATAACGTCCTCAGAGAGAAATCCATCTTCTCCTGAGTTGAGCAGCGCCGCTGCTCCGTACTCTCTATTGTTTTCCCGTAGACTCCAGGGGATCTCCCCTATCAAGACTCCAGGGGATCTCCCCTATCGTAGACTCCAGGGGATCTCCCCTATATAGACTCCAGGGGATCTCCCCTATCGTAGACTCCAGGGGATCTCCCCTATCTAAACCCTAAACCCCATACACCGAGGAGATGCCCAGGAGAGTCATGAAGATGAAGGAAGTCACCTCGTTGCCTGCTGAGGCGGTGTATGTCTCGACCTTCTCTTTCTTGGCTTCTTCAATCTGCTGCATAAACCACTCTCTGGATGCGTCACTCCATCCAGCCATCGCTTCTTGCAGAAGCTCACGTCGTGCCTGCTGACATGTCGAGCGGATGGCTTCTGCGATAGCGTCGGGGGTGCATCCCTCCACAGCCTTGCAAGCCTGGGCTGTCCTGCTGTTCGGATAACGCTTCGCGAAGCTCTTCACCCTCTCGACGAGATCAGCTTCGAGGACAGAGGCATCCACAAGTCCGCTCTGCGTGTATTGGCATGATCTCCGATACAGCAGGTTGCGAACATTTTCATCATACTGAAGAACCATACTTAGAAAGCTATTTGAAGTATACAAACCTCTCGCTTGCAGCTTCCTTGGCGCCCTGGCGGCTTCCCCTACACCTGAAAATAACGGCGCCTGCCGAAAATAACGGCGCCTGCCGAAAATAACGGCGCCTGCCGAAAATAACGGCGCCTGCCGAAAATAACGGCGCCTGCCGAAAATAACGGCGCCTGCCGAAAATAACGGCGCCTGCCGAAAATAACGGCGCCTGCCGAAAATAACGGCGCCTGCCGAAAATAACGGCGCCTGCCGAAAATAACGGCGCCTGCCGAAAATAACGGCGCCTCCTAAACCCTAAACCCGACTTGGCTGGGCCCTATGGCAGCCGTGCTTCTGCTGTGCTGGTCTTCCCCGGCCTCAGGCAGTTTCCTCCGCCGGCCTTGGCCTGGGTCGTCCGTGCTTTACTTGTGTTGCTTCCTCGGCCCCGACACACCTGGTTTCTAAACCCTAAACCCTAAACGGCGCCTGCCGAAAATAACGGCGCCTCCTAAACCCTAAACCCTAAACCCTAAACCGTTGTTCGACCCTAACTAAACTCCAGATCTAACCCTGGATACCTGTACCCCACCAATCTACTAGTCTGTCGCAGGAAAGGCTTGGGTGGTCGTCCGCTCCTCGGCGACTAATCCGGTTCGCTCATCTTGGAGAATTCCTGACTGGAGGATGCGAACAGTGAAGGGTAGAGGACAAGATGCGGAGAAGAGAAGTAGATACACACAAGAGCTGCGACTTGAATCTCGCATGACAGAAATGCAAGTTCGAAATTCAAGGAGACAAGGAACATATTAATCGTTCAGAAGAATGTAGCACAAATGTTATGGCGTTGGAGTGTGGAAAGCAACATCGAACATTCGTGAACATTGGAGGTGTGGCAAGACAAATAGAGAGGGAATAATATGCAAGAGGGCAGCAACCAGCAATGATGATGTGGGGTAAAAATAGAGATTAGTTGATCCTGAAGACTGCCGGAGACTAGAAATCGATCACTTGAGACAGATTGAAACACTGGAGACTTTTTGCCTGTAGTTCACATTATGAGATGATCGGCAGGATTTTTGACGGCAGTTTTTGACACGTCGTCGAGACATACGCTGATGGTGATTCAAGATTTCAATGCGATTGGAGATCATGGTAAAATGTTTTAACATGACATTGGTCATTCACTTTTCGCGCAGATGAAGTACAGGTTGAGTTGTTTTTGAGCTGTTACTTACTGACATCTTCATGTTGTTGTTTTGTTGACATAGGATGTGAGCGGAGAAGGTATTCGGATTGTAATGCATGATGGAAAACTGACAAGTCCGTCAGCACCATCTTCTACTGTTAACCGAAGGTTGTCATCTATTGCAGCGTCTCATGAGACTGTACTATGATGAAAGCCTCAAAGACAGATGTCTGAATTCATGCAGGGCGGCGACTCATCTGTTGATGCTCTTCACCCCATCATTTCGCCCAGCCCTGGTGTCGATTTCGTCTTGAGTCCATCTCTCATCATTCAAATCGCAGGCGTGGACTTGCCTGCCGTCCCCTCTCAATCTCCATCCATATTGCAGGCATTGAACCAGGTCAGAATCAGAACTTTCATGTTTTCATGGTCAAAGATATGTATATTCAGATAACCAGTGGCTTGTCTATCAAGCCTGAAGTGATGGTGGGTGTATATGGGAATTCGATTCCAGGTTCGCTGTGAATCTTTCTTTTCGTCGCATAATCACTCTCAAGGTGGTAACCTCCTTGGATCTCCGCAGGGTGGTGAAAAAGTTGATAAGAGGTATGCTGTGTTGGAGTGCACGAGATGTTGTGAAAGGTTATGGTAAGATATGGAAAGCGCTCGTCAGAAGCTAGAGCAGGTGTATTTGGATTCATCTTGAATTCTGCTTAAACGAATGGTTGTAGCTGTTTCTGCTGGGATGAAAGCCAAGGCGACTACGTAAAATATTCTTTATCTTAACTGTGTTGAGTCGAATTAACTATGCCTTACAGTCGCAGGGATAATGAGCAACGCATTTCACTTGGAGATCGACTGATGGTTGCACAAAGACTCGAGAACAAGGTGAGATTGAGTATCACCATGCCTGAGCAAGATTGACCGTGTCTAGGAAATAACTCCCAAAGAGGCACAATCCATTCTCGGATGCTGTAAATCTTACATCTCGCAGTTGATGGTCAAAATCTTTTCTTGTGGGATTCTTTGAAAGTGATCTTCCTGTGGCAGAAACCATGCAACTTGGCTAAGCTGAAAAAGAAAGCTGAATTGGGTAATGCTATCTCCCGCAATTTCGGCGGACTTTGATTTTGTGCTTAGGTTTGGATCTGAAATTGACCAAGGCGCATCTCCCCAAATTTCCACAGGTTTGTCAGGGAGGAGTTTCTTCTTCTGGGCGGTATTATTGAAAATTCCTAGATGGAAGAAGAGTTGAACAGATGGATAAGAGACGTAGCTGCAGGTTTGAAATCACTGCTGCTCTTATCAACATCCTAATGCAGATTGCAGCTAATCCTCACTTGAGGCCTCCGGTTACCATGGCCTCCTTACAAGTAGCTGCATCCCGTTCTCGTCCGACAAACTCAAGACATGCTCGTCGCAGGAAAGAGCGATACAAATGGCTGTAATGAAAGGCGTTCAGGGAGGTAAGGTTTGCACTTTTGTGCTTGTTCTGGTCTGAACGATACATTTAAATGTGTTGCATCAGAGTTCAAGGCATCCAACAGTTGGTTTTCAAACTTCGTCAAGAGGTAGAATGTGTTATGACCTGATGTTTGATCCTAATCCTCCTGTAGATATGGGTTAGAAAAATATGGATTCCAGACGGAGGAAACATCGAGCATGAAAGGTGAAGCATTGACTCAAACGAGAAGTCGCTGAAATTTCCATTTCAGCAAACAACAGCCTGCAGGAGCTCCAGTCCCAAGGAGCTTACACGTCAGATGGAACAGCTCTTCAGGTTCTTTGTATCAACCCTTCCATGCCAAGCTGAAGTTTTGACTTGAGTCGCAGAGGATGTGGGCGATGGGGAATCTGGTGGGAAGAATCGTTTGTGTTTCATGATGCTGACGCAGTCGCGATACAGCATCAGCCGTTGCAGGTACAATTGGTTCACCCGTCTGAAAGCGGCGGAGCAAACTCAATCCAGGTCATGCCCGCCTCACTCGCTATGAGCCTCTCATGGCGTAAACAGGTGGGGGGCGAGGGGAGTGGAGGGGAAGAAGGTGTGCACTCCTCTGATCTCAGCCATCCGGATGTTCATGGCGACACGGACTCAGGGCTTGTGGTTTGAATTCTCCTGCTGAGACATGTCAATTTGTATCATTTATTCTTTCAATCCTGTTGGGAGCTGCTCCGATGGCTTGCATTAGATCATACTGAATGATGCCAGCGGATACCACAAGCAACAAAGTTGTTTCAGAAAATGGAAATGATTTGAACATTGCCACCGTCGACAGATTGATTTGAGAACGGGTCCTCTGAATCAAGAAAGTGTTTTTAGCTCTTCTGTATTTTATGTATTTCTATTCTTGACGAATCATTGGCAACCACTTGATCTTGTCGTCCATGCAAGTTGGACAAGCTTTCAGAAATCGTTATCAGATGTGCTTGTACATGAATCTTGACATGCCACAGAAGCTAAGGCAGATGTTGAGCGAGGTTTCGAATTCTCTTCCATTGTTGCTCAGGGATGAAACACAATATTAAAGGTACACAAACATTTCCGAAATATCACACCTCTCACTCTTATGAATACTACCTCCAACAAAACTGTAGGAGCATAGCAGGTGAGAAACCACAGATTGTTTTGTAGGAAAAGTTCTTCAACTTTGACACTGTGAAGCATTAATTCTAGTATTCTTGTAAACAATTACTTCATGCATTTATTTCAGGTTCTCCGATGCATGTTCAAGATGCTTTTTCTTCATCAACCAAGCACGCCGGACTCTGAGAGCACATGAAAATCGTTCGCCGTCCCCCACTTCGCATTATGTGCCGCAATGTCGCTCGGATGAGCCATGGCGTCGAGCTGGCCAGCTAGGGAGGGCATGAAAGCGAAGGAGTTCATACGGCGATGCTGAATAGCCTGAGAAGCGTGTCAAGCCGTCAGCCTCCTCTCCTCGCACGCACCATGAACCAGTCCATGCCGCAGATGATCCCCTCCTCCTCTGCCTTGGCGATCAGAAGCGACGCTGCCCTGAGGCCGCAAAGTGAGACGTCAGCGCATGACGTTGAAGCGAAGCCGTTGCTTGCCTGGGACGGATGGCGTACGCATGCGTGTGACAGTTGCGGTAATTTCTGATTCTCATCACTCCTGAACTCGCGTAAGGAAGGAGAGTAGGAAGGAGAGTAGGGATCTCCTCTACCTGGAACCGTATGCTCCTCGTCAAAATCCACGTGCTCCCCCATGTTCAGCCGTGAACCCACGCAGATCTACGGCCGAATGAGAAGAAGCTTTCAGTCAGCACTTCATACCAGATCCCACTGCTCTCCATCACCCGACGCTTCCTTCAAAAACTAAAGTCAGGACGACAGCCGAAAGGTCGAAGACTGACGAGATGGCTGAGAAGTTCTTTGAAACGATCGGCAAAGTTTGACGCTGATGGCAAGTCAGAAAGTGACTGATAGAGCAGGGCAGGCAAGACCAAGCAAGACATCGTCTTCTAAAACAAGCAACCACTCTGACCCCGATTCGCCCCAGCATTCTAACATCGTCCTCCACATCCTTCACTGACTGGTCAAAGATCTGATGAGACCGAGACAAGGCTACCGAAGATGCGAGATCGCACAGGCTTCAACGGCCGGATCTGACCCGAAGTGATTTCGACGGAACAGCCACTGCAAGCTCTGACGAAGCGGGTCAGACCTGCCTCAATTCGTACAAGGCACCTGGTGACTTGGATCCAACAAGCGCCCATCAGCTGCCGGCACTCTGGTGAAGTTGAGAATCCCTGCTCTGAACAAGCATCAGTATCGCAACAACACCAGGACTCAAGACTCGCACCTCCTTAGCTCCAGCCTTACATGCTCAAGCCTGTCAGGTCTCCTGGAAGCAGCTCAAACCAAGCTCAGCTGAAGGCATTCAACCTCTCAAGATTGATGAAAGCAACATGCCCTCCCATATTTCCATCTCGTGAAAAACATTTGCAGCAACTCTTCCCCTCGTCTCCGTCACCAGATGTGAATGCTTCCATGCCATCCAGACAACCATCCAGGTACTTGTGAAGAAGCGAATCGTTTCGATCCGAGGAGTCACACTTTGATTCTAACGACCTCCAGACGCGAAAGGAAACTGCACCAGAGACATTCTCCCAAGAGACATCAGAATCATATTGCGAATGTTCATCTTTCAGAATGCCAAGCTGTTTTGATCTTCAATGAGAGGTCTCAGAGATTCTGCAAGTACCTGGACGGTGTGTGGACCATTCTTCACACCTTCGAGAACGATCGATCGGATCTGAGGGGCTTGTGGGTTGACCTGTGTACTCGATTAGATGATTGCAGGGCTGCAGCAATCCTAAGCCTCTAGGTGGCTGAAAACTCTTCCATCGAGAATGACCGCGACTTGCATGTGGTTGTCTCTGAAATCCTCCTCCTGAATGTGCCCTGACTGAACAACTGAAACTTTCAGTTCAATGCCCGCGAGGAGGGACGAGGGAATCTGCATCACGATAAACATTGTTCTCTGGCAGGAGCATGACACACCTCCTGCCCCTCGGCCGGCTGAATGATCGCCAAGGCAAGCGAGGGATGAACCAGCGCCGGACGAGAAAGTCTCCTGACCCAAGAGGCATTGAGGTCCAGCAAGCCCTCAGCAGATTTGTGCTGGAGTAGTTGTAAGTCGAAGGCGACAGTCTAAGAGTTTTGCAGCAAACCTTTCCTTCACCCCTTAGCTTACGAATAATTCCATCTGTGACCCGCACCGGACTGATTCGCTGAAAGAGCTCATGACTCGACGCCAGTAACACATTCCTCTTCCTACCTGTGCGGTCCCATGCACAGCTCCCTCATTGTAGATTTGACCCTGTCGGTCCCTATCACTTGTCGACTCTGACGATGAAGCTTCACCTGATTGAATGCCATGGCTGAGATGTTGAGAAATTGCGAGGTCCAGGGCCTCCGCCGCCAGGCGTGGTACTCATCATACCTACAGTTCGTGAGACAACAGAAGATGGGGTAGACACGCACCTCACAGGGTCTTGAAGCAGAGCGGTGAGATAAGATGCAAGCTCTTCTGGCCCGTCGAAGTCATCGACATCTGATCAATGTCAGCGTTCTGCGAATAGTTTGAAGCTGCGCAGACTGATGAATGAATGATCGTCCGGCGAGAACTGCCGAATGTTTGGAGCGCCCTTGTAAACAGGAACAGCTCCAGCCATCAAAGGAATGTAAAACTTTTCGGTAACATAGTCCGTCTGCAAATATTTCATCTTCTACCGCGAATTCCAATCAAACAATGAACCTGAATGGAGTTTTCAAAGCACAGGACAAACTTGTACTGCTTCATAAGCTATTTGAAACTGTTCACAATGACGTGAAACAACATCTCAGAAGTAATACCGGAACTAAAGGTGAGATTGGATTCTTGTCGCTTGCCTGCCAACGCTCATCACAATAAAAGATTGAACTAAGAAGATCAAAGAGTTAATGAACTATGTAGATGAAGGAGATGACAGGGTTAGCAATCTAAAGGACTATTGATCTGCTGCTACTACAATGGTTTAACCATCTAAGACCTGCTACTGCTACTGATTGTAGGGTTGCTACGACTGCTTGTTCTAGTTGTAAGGGTCTAGGGCAGCGCTTTCTCTCACTTCATATTCCACTGTGGAAGGAAGTCTTGCGTTGTTGAGACATTTGCCAAACGAGTCGACGGGAATGTATTTCATGAGCTTGAAAACAACTTTAAACATGTGAAGAGAAGGAAAGGGAGAGAAAGGGAGAGAGAGGAGATTAACAGTTAGAGAAAGAAGATTACCTGCCTGAGATATACATCCCGTGCCAGTCCGCAATGAGAAATCACAAACATAGCAAATCGATCTCTTGTTACACTTTCGCTTCTATCAAAAAGCGAAAGATTTCCTGGTGCATAGAGCAAAGGAATATCTGAATGCAACTATTTCGTGGTTTGAGCAATTTCCCTTCAATGCATCAAGTTGCCTGATAAGTTGCCGAGATGTCCATTGCATGAAGAAACTCCTGATCCGCCAGTCAGATCAAGAACGTAACACCTAACTCACTTTATCTTCTCTTCCTCCGGTGCTTTCAAGACACAAGTTCATCCAGAGTTGGTGGGGATGCTGGAACGAATCAGAAGCGATACATACAGACATACAACAACCTTGGGAACGTTTGGTTTCCCTCCTCCTTGCCTGCCCTGCTCTACCATGAGCACAGCTCATGTCGTTCACGAGTTCACAGACCTGAGACCACCAGCAGCTGAAGATTAGCACGTCGGCAGCATCCATGCAAGACAGCTCCTGCACGCAGTTCAGGTTGACATCTCAATCTTGACATCGAGACCAGAAGCCAGAGACATGGAGTTTGACATCTCAAAACTTCCCTGGGGTCAAAGTGCATCCACCTGGGACAAACGTCCATCCCATCGCATAACAGTGACAGGCGCTACCCCAGGTCGTGAGGAGGAACCGCCAGGAAGATCTGAGGCCTCTGCAGGTATGCGGCGGGATCCGGAAAGCCAGGAAATGTTACGATCTTGTTTGGAAGCTCTATCAGTGGTAGGTATCAACTTTGGGGACTTGAAATACCTTCTTGCATGGAAGCGGCCATGCTTCTTTGAGAAAGTCGACGTCCCACCTGTTCATTCACTCAATCGTCTTTCTCTGGTATGGAAAACGATGTGGCAGGTTGCAAGAATCATCGTACCCTTCTTCTGGCGATGACGTCTCGTTGACAGCAGCTTTCATTCTCTCACTCTTCACTTCAGCTTCAATTCCTTGCAACATGTAGCCGATATGTGACGTGGTAACCTTTTTAAAGAGCATTCGAAATGAGGCATAGATCACATTCGTTGTCTTTGCTGTCACAAACATCCCCTCCCTCCCTCCCTCCGTCCGTCCGTCCGTCCGTCCGTCCGTCCGTCCCTCCCCTCCCTCCTTTCCCTCCCCCAGTGGCATTGTCATTCACCTCAAGGTTTGACGCGAAAGAGAAGAGTTTCACGGTGTACATTCCATGACAAACTCTGCCCGCTCCTTCGCACGAGGAAGCGCTCTTGTCAAGTATGAGAGCGGGAGAGGCTGGAGAGGCAAACACACAAGGTACACTTTGAAGATGTCCAGAGGGGGAGGGTCCAGAATTCTCCGAAGCATCTTCAAGCAGCAAGTCAAGAGCTGACTGGCTGTAGGCCTGGCATGATGCTCACGTTTGATCCGGACCAGACCTCCAAGTAGCCTTCCGCGGGGTCGAACGACTTGCACGGCTGTCAGACAAGGAGGAGCTGGAAGAGCAGGTGGGGAGACGGAAGAAGCAGACCTGGGTCTCGATCTCGAGCATGTGCGTGAGGGGGGGTGCACGAGGACGACCGTCATCGCCGATGAGAGACAACAAAATTCGAGGAGGATAATTCTCCTCTTCCTCCTCAACCTCCTTCGCTCCCGTGGCGTACAAGCTCAGAAGCAGGAGAATGTAGCGCCAAGAGAATCTACCGAATGACATGGGAAGGAGGGGGGAGAGAGGGGTAGGCGGGGTGGTTGAAGGAGGAGGAGGAGGAGAAGGAGGAGGAGGGAAACGAGCAGGAGAAGGAGAAGGAGGTGGTGGGGGGGGGAGGGGGGACAAGGAAAGTGTCTGTCAGATACCTAACCCGCCATGTTGAATCGCAATCCCCGTGTGGTATCCCACCACCCCACTTTTGAACGCACACAGTACCGGTACTGCATCAATTGTACTCAACCCTAACAGCGATTTCACTACAAAACAAACATGCGATGACAGAGGGATTGAAGTCAAAGTGATGTGACCCACAGAGTTCAAAGTTATGTGATGTCACTGGCAGTTTTGTTTTAATCTCAATGTTGCTCTCCATGTGTAATGCTAATCGGAGGCAAAAAATTTCAGCGGTAGGCTCTTACGTCGTTTCTGGAGCAGCATATCCATCTCTACCGCAAGCAAAACCATGACAGCCGAAGGCCGAAAGGAATGTATCGATTCGAGCACTGCTGATTGCATATCTCAGCGAGGATACGGCTGATCAGATTGATGTGTGCGAGGCTGTTTCGTCAGCCTTCGCGTCTTGCTCAGCAGCTCAAGTTTCATTGCTGCCGTCAACAAGAATGACCGGAGCAGACAGAAATTGAGATGCAAGGACATGTTCAGGATGTGAGGCAGATCACCTCAGAGCCTTCTCTGACTGTTTCAAGTTCAACTTGGAGGGCGGAGGACGGGAAGGCACGTCCCGTGAACCCTGTCGACGGGTCAAAGTCTCTCTTGAGCTTGCCGAGTCTGCTATCGTCTCGCGCGCGATTTTGCTCTTGGGTCTCATCGTCGGCCATCGTAGCTCGGGAGAATGCATCTGAGCTACCAGTCAGAGGGCAGCACTCGCCAGCCATTGTCCTCACCCTAGAAGGAATTTGCACAAACCTGATACACTCTTTCCTGAGGAGGATTTTTTTTCAGTTCAGGCAAGACGCAAAGGAAGGAGTTAAGCGAGCAGAAGCAGTGCAGTGCATGCCAGGGAGGAAAGCGAGCAGAAGCAGTGCAGTGCATGCCAGGGAAGTCATTGAGAACTCACTTAGCAGTCTCCTGTACAGCTTTCTTGACGTGGTCGAGGAGCATCAGCTTGGCTTCTGTAAGGTTTTGAAAAGGCAGAGGTCTGTTACTCCATTCTGTATTCTTCCTCCCCTCCCAGAATCCCTGCTGCAAGTAACTTTCCATGTGACGATTTCGAACGTGAAACAGCAAAGTCCATGCAGAGTTCATTGCTACGATAAACTTCTCCTCATCCGTCATGAGATTCGGATCAATCCTGGTGAGCTCTTTTCGAAGGAGTGGCAAAAAGAGATGAGGTTGAAACAGCGCATCTTTCGCCTTGAAGTGCCTGTGAAATTGACACGTCTCATCTAGAAGAATGTTGCGGTACTGCAAGGGCAGACGATCTGCGGCTCGCACAGGGGTCACCGCAAGGCACAATTCAGCTGGAGCTAGCGGTCGACTGTTTGAGCTCTCCGCCTTCAACGAGGGTTTGACCTTGGACTCAATCCAGTTGACGACGGAAGAAGAACTCGGTCCTTTCTTGAATGAATACATGAATTCGAAGTCTGGCACGAATCCATCTATGTACATCTTGATATTCCAGAGTACTCCTTTCAAATAGCGTTCTATCATTTCAGGAGGTTCATAACGTTTTGGAATGCTTGTTCCTTTCCGGTGATTAGTCAACAGATCCACGAAATCCTTCTGATGTTTGTCAATGCTGGCAGAATGCTGCGTTCATGTTGATCAGAATCGGAAACTTTGCAGGAAACAATCAAAACCTCACTATCATGAATACCGTAAAACGTTGAAAGTGCGACAGTTGCTGCACTCTGGAAGGAAGCAACAATCATTAAATCAGAGCAACACTCAAATCACAATCAAGAGACACGTGACACTTACATTCTTTGATTCCATTTTTGTTCGGAATGGTTTTCCTTCGAATTTTAAATCTCCTATCGTAAGAGTACATGTCCACATTGTCACCTCCTCACGAATCTCTTGGGAGAACTCGAATTGCAAGTCTTCAACAGAGTATTCCAAGGAGCCTTCTTGCACGTATTGATGAAGCTCAACAATGGGATTCGAGATCTTCCAGGTCTTAAGACGTGCGTCGACCTGTTTCAAAAACTCTGCTAGAAATTCATAGTCAAACGTCTTCTCTCGTCCATCCAGGAGGAATCGCGATCTGAACTTCTCTTGAGATTTCATCTGTGAAGATTTCACGGCAAGCAGAGCAGATGGTAGATTCTGACTCACCAAGGTGTAAACCTCAAAGGACACCTGCAGGTTGAAATGTTTTAGGGGCGGAAGGTAGTCGTTTCCGTTGAAGATAATCAGCAGCAAGAGATCAAATCGGATGATATCGCTGTGATCCGGGAAGATGGTTTCCAGCTCCTTCTTCAACTCCGACAGGGAAATGAAATGCATCGGCTTTATACGCTGCAAGCCAACACCATCTTTTCGGTTGAGCAGATATACCTGAGAATGGCCTCTTAGTGCGAGGGACTGGATCGTCAAGTCCGAGTCTCCGCCTATGAAGAGGATCCTATCTTTACTTGCTGATTCCACAAACGTATGAATCCACTCGACCAGCTTCAGCTCGCCTTCTCCCGCCACATCTGAGCAAGACAAGTAGAAAGAAATGTCTCGATATCCCCCCCTTTGCTCCAGACTTTGCACAACGTGAGCGAAGCAGAGCTCGCGCACCTCAGACATGAATCGAGTCCCAGGGGTGATGTCAATGCTGTCGAGTGTACTTGACGCCACTTTCGTCCTCTTCTCTCTGCTCTCAACTTGCTTCGGTATCTTGGCGATGGGTCCAGGGCCATCAAAGCATAACACCACACTTTTTCCTGGCGTGAAAATCCGCAGATACGAATCCACTTGTCTGAAAACTCTCTTGCAGACAGCGCTCGAGTTCTTGCAGTTGCGAGCGCAGGTATGAAGCATGTCGTTCATATCGAACAGAACGTGATCGAACTTGAAACTGGGCGACCTTGGCGATATCGGAATCACACATTTGGGAAAGCTTGCTTCCAACCATCTCTTGCTTGCTGCCTTTCCCTTGGAGGACAGCACAGCCCTCGTCGACTGCAACACGGTCGCCACAGACATGCAGCTAGATCACTCACCGCCGACGCGCTGCCGAGCCATGGCAGCCTCGCACTCAAACCCACGTGCAGCCATGGGCGAGCGAACCGACTCCCCGGGCCCCGGGCGGATGACCTCATCTCCGCTCATGCCCGAATCACTCTGCGACATCTGTCACGACATTCAAGGATGGCTGCGGAGGCCATGCGGAAGGCAGGGGAGGAGGAGGAGAGGAGGAGAGGAGGAGCTTCCATGCAGATGCGATCTCTCCCTTCTCTCCCTCCTCTCATTGTGCTGCTCATGGGCCTCGCTTCTCTTCAAGTCGAAGCTTTCCAGGTGAAGGCCAAAACGAGGATCCGAATTTCTTTTCAATGTCGTCGTTCTGTTGTTGTGGCATGCGAATACATGGCTGACGATGAGCTTCTCCTCTAGATCTCTTCTTGTCAATCCGATTTCTTGTGTCCCGCTCTTGTTTGCTCTGACCCTTTCGTCTCAGCCGGCATTGAACTTGGCATCGCACAAGAGGTCGCGATATGCGCACATGAGGTCCAAAGCCACGACAGTGATGGCGGAGGTAAGTGACTGTCGCCGTGCAAGCATGCGATCTCAAGCACTTCATTGCAGGCGTCGAGGAAGAAGGTTGTCATCACTGGTGTCGGAGCCGTCAGGTAAGGAGAGCTTGTACCTTGAATGTTCTGACGGGCGTCACAGTCCTGTCGGCGTTGGGGCAGACAAGTTTTTCAACGTGAGCAGCCGCATGAGGGAGGGGAAGCGACGTGTCCTCACTTTCCTGCTGGCAGGCGCTGGTTGAGGGCAAGAGCGGCATCGTCAGACTCCCCAAGGCGTTTGATGAGGTCAACGACCACAAGGAGGGAGGGGAAGGGAATGAAAGGAAGCACAGTTCCCTTGCCAAGTTGGAGCCGTCGTAGGAGAAGAAGCAGGCTGGCATGGACCAGAGGTGAGAATAAGAAGATGCTGCCGCTACTCGTGATAGTTGTTGTAGTTGTAGTTGTAGTTTTAGTTGTTGTTGTGATGGTGGTGATTGTGATGCATGTATGTTCAGGATTACATGGACAGCAAGATGGCAAAGACGCAAGGAAGATTTGTTCAGTGAGTTTGATCATCACGCCTATCAGCAATCTGGTTAATTTTCGTCAAAAGTTTCTCGATGGCAGCAGCAAAAATGGCAATTGATGACGCGAAGGTGAGGAAAGAAGAAAGGAGGAGGTGGAGGAGGTCACGGAGAGTGGCTGAAGATTGAGGGAGGAAACGAAAGGAGAACAGAAAGTTGAAAGGGAGATGAAGCATCTGCGAGAGAAAGCAGGAGAGCGAGGAAGGTTCAGCGCTTCTGATTTCGCCATGGCAGATGGATGTAACCAAGGTCGACAAGTCACGATTCGGTAAGAAATGAAGAGCAGGAGGGCGATGAAAACCTGAAGAGCAACAAGGATGTATCATTGGGTCTGGCACGGGAGGAGTCGAATTCTTCGAGGATAACGTCAACA